AAGCAGCATTCTGGTTTTTGAAATTTTCAGCCTTTTTGCACTGGTTTCTCCCCATCTTCGTGGATTTATCTACCTTTGGTCTTTGACGTTGGTGACCTTTGGATGGGGTTTCTGAGTGGATGTCCTTTTTGTTGATATTGGTGTTATTCCTTTCTGTTTGTTAGTTTTCCTTAGTTTTCCTTCTAACAGGCCCCTCTGCTGCAGGTCTGCTGGAGTTTGCTGGAGGTCCACTCCAGACCCTGTTTGCCAGGGTATCACCAGTGGAAACTCCAGAACAGCAAAGATTGCTGCCTGTTTCTTCCTTTGGAAGCTTTGTCCCAGAGGGGCACCCACCAGATGCCAGCCGGAGCTCTTTTGTTTGAGGTGTCTGTCGACCCCTGCTGGGAGGTATCTCCCAGTCAGGAAGCAGGAGGGCAGGGACTCACTTGAGGAGACAGTCTGTCCATTAGCAGAGCTCCAGCACGGTGCTGGGAGATCCACTGCTCTCTTCAGAGCCAACAGGCAGGAATGTTTAAGTCTGCTGAAGTTGTGCCCACAGCCACCCCTGCCCCCAGGTGCTCTGTCCCAGGGAGATGGGGGTTTTATCTATAAGCCCCTGACTGGGGCTGCTGCCTTTTTTTCAGAGATGCCCTACCCAGAGACTGGACATCTGTTTTTAAAAGTTACAAACCTTTTGAAAATACAAGGCCAAAAACTCTCCCCAGTAACATCCTGAGGAAGTACTGTGAGGAGTGGAACAGAACTATCCTGTTTGTGTGTCTTTATTCTTCCTTCAGTGACATTTCAGTGACTTGCTTATCTCTTCTGGGTTGCATTAATATCAACATATCAAAACAAATAAATGAAGCTGCAACAAAGTGCTTGTTAGTTTGAGAGTTTCTGAAAACACATAAAATAACCATTATGACTTATCAGTGATGTCATTTCTTTATTTTATCTTGAGAATGTAGCATGCACAACTTGCAGTTAAATCCTACTAATCATCGAACCCAACTAATGAATTTTAGCGATTTGAATTCAAATCCAGAAAAAAAGGGATATACTTCCTTTATTACCCTAAACTGTATTGTTTTAATAAGATGCTCTGAGCAGTACTTCATTTTAAATAAATATTTGAAAGGTATTTGCTACCTACTTTGAATGTTCCAAATGCAAATGTGTTTGGCTGCAAAGTAAATAGAATGCTAATTATATATTGCCACCTAGTGGTAATGTCATAACGTTGGCAAAAAAGGAATGGAGTTAATGCAGTGGTTCAAATATTTTATTTCAGTTGGAATATCATTGGAATCAATGCAGTAATTCTGTGTAATACTTCCATAGAGCAGCATGTGTTTAAAAAAATTACAGTAATTGTTTTGCATAGTTCTTTCAATCTTTGCAAAAGTAAATCAAAATTACTTTATATTGAAATTCTATACACTTTGACACATTTATATTAAAAATAGGTTCATATCAAAACTTGAGACATTCATTGTTTACTGTAACAGTTGAGTTTGTATCTAATAAACAGATTTTGTTTTCTTATGGCCCCAACATTACCGAGCTCCCAGTTCTGACATGAGAAAAAAAATTCTTAATAAATGTTTTTAAACATTTAAAATTTTTATTAAATTCAAAATTTATTTTAAAAATTAAGGGAGTCTGTATGTGTAGATATATGTGGTATCGAAGTAGAAAACAAAATGGCCCATGATTCTATCCTTAAGCCCTGTTATTTTAAAAAGGCCAAAGTATACAAGAAAAAGGAAAGAAACCTCTAACCAAGTTTCTTGGTTATCTATATTTGTAGAAGAAAAAATGGACGAGCCAGCATTTGCATATTTAACTAATTTGAGTTGCCTCAGTTTGATGAGGGTATAATATGAAAAAGTTTAAACCTTTTCACTAACTGCAACTAGCCATGCTTTTTCACCCCTTTCCTGCTGAGAAGTAAGTTCCCTTAAAGACTCCTTCATTAGTTTCTCTCAGTCTTTCTTTCATAACTGTCAGCCACTTTCACTCACTAAAATCATCTCATTCTGCTGATTTCAAACCTATCCTCTTCATTTTAAATGTTTTCTCCTCCCCTCACCACAAGCGTGTGGAAGTAGTGGAGAGGGAGATGGGAAAGGAAGACTGTTCTCTTTCACACCTGCCCTCCCTGCTGAGCTAGGATGTTTTCACTGTAGCTATAGCCTGGTGGTAACAATTGTTAGGTTTCTGTTTGCTTGGGATTTTGTTTGATTTTCTTTGTTTTTGTTGTAAATATTGGTGGTCTCCAGAGATTGGCAGTAGAGGCTGTAGACCCCCTCAGCTATACCCCTACCTACTATGTTCAAATGAAAGCACACGTGGGTGCCCAATTCTGCCAAATGTGCAAACACTTTAGGAAGAAGGTACTCTTTAGAAGAAGATACTATTTAGACATACATACATACATACATACATACAGTCTCCTACCCTGTTTTTGTAGCTTGGAGAAAGTCACATTGCTCTCAAGCTTCATGAAAGAGTGGGAAAGCCCGTGCCATCACCCAAACCTCCAGCCCATCTTTACCACTCACTCCACCAATGAAAAACCATTTTCTGTCAATCCTTAATAACAACAAATTCTCTGGTGTAGATTTTGATAAAGTTCCTATATGAAAAAGAGGCACTTCAGTGCTGAGTGCCTCTGAATGTTGACTCCTGCTTAGAGTGCTTCAAATACATCACTTTGGGGTAGGGGTTGGAGGGACCTGGTGTTTGTTACTTCAAATGCTAATTAACCATCCCTAGTGTATAGACTGAAGTTAGATGACAGACATGCACAGGCACAGCACACTGCTTATACTTAACTACTTTAAAAGTAAATTTCCATATAGATAAACAAGATAACTTCTAAACCAGAAGGGACTATTTATTTCACAGATGAAAAATTTTAAGAACAAAGATTTAGTGTCCTAAGCTACCTGATAACATTTGTTAGGGCTAATGTCGTCTCATTACTACTGTTTTCCAGAGTGTCATTGGATCTTTATTTTGTGCCAATATTTTGTTAAGTTTCACCAAAAAGTAAAATGTTTTAAATGGGATCATATCAAATTTATAGGCTCATTTAGGGATGATTGAGATGCACTTCAAAATTTCATGTGACAAAAACTCTAAAATAGCAAGGACATTTTTCTTCCCTATCATATTTGCTGCCCACTCCCCTCCCCACAAAAAGGGAAAAAGGTTCATTCTCAGAGGTCAAACTACCAAATACAGTTACTTTCCTGAACTGACTTCCCTCTGTGATCTCCCCTACTTGCTGGTTCCTGAGGCTTCCCTTTTTGATCTCTGATGAAACGTCTGGGGCTTTGATGACCCTGCTCTGCCACATCTATGACTGCATGCATCTGGGGCCAGGTGATGTAGAGGACAGAGAAGTAAAGCAATGGGGGCTTACAGTCCCCTCCTGAGACTGCAGGTCCTCCCATCTGGGGGGAGGTTTCCCTTCCTCAGAGTTTAGGCTCCCAGGGCTCCCCTTGCCTTCGTTCCTGCTCCCAGCATGAGATTGCTTGTAGGTTGGGGCACAAGAGAACTGAGAAAAGGAAAATAAAGAAAAATGGAGGGTTAACCCATTCTCTCTGATATTAGGAGTTCTCTTTGTTCAGATAGCACTAGAGGGCTTCCTCTGGGTCTCTGTCAGCCTACTTGTGCCTACTTTTGGGTTTTGGGCTATACTGAGTTCAGACCAGGGGAATACCAGAGAGAAAAAAACGGTAAACTCACCACTGGTTTGGTGGTACTTCAGATTCCTGTCCTCTTCCTCTTTTTGTGTGTTACTATTTGCTTTTCAGAGACCGCAAATAGCTGCTCTATCCTGTCCAGGTTTTAGAGCCACATTTTGGGGGAGAAACAAGGTGCAGAGCGTGTTTACTCCATCTTACCTGAAACCAGAACTGAAAGTAACTTTTTCTGAGAAGCTGAACTGAGTCTATCCGTAGGGACTGAATGAACCATAATACATTCATTCATTGGGGTTCTATGCAAGTATTACAAAGAACGTGACTACTCTGTGTGCTGTTACGGAATCATTGTCAAGATGTATTGTTAAATAGCAAACTGTAGAATATTTATAAATATGTATATCTATGCTTATGTGTACATAAAATCTAGGAATACACACACAAAAAAATGGTAACCATGGTGATTTCTGAGGAGAACTAGAAGGCTGCGAGACTGAGGAGATGGAGACCTGACTGACATCTCTGTGCTATTAATATTTGCATGTATTGGCCGGTTACAGTGGCTCACACCTATAATCCCAGCACTTTGGAAGGCTGAGGCAGGTGGATCACCTGAGGTCGGGAATTGGAGACCAGCCTGACCAACATGGAGAAACCCCGTCTCTACTAAAAATACAAAATTAGCCGGGTGTGGTGGTGCGTACCTATAATCCCAGCTCCTCAGGCGGCTGAGGCTGGAGAAGTGCTTAAACCTGGGAGGTGAAGGTTGCGGTGAGCCGAGATCATGCCATTGCACTCCAGCCTGGGCAACAAGAGTGAAACTGTCTCAAAAGAAAAAAAAAAAAAATTACATGTATTATTGACTGTGGTGGATGAGACCTACTTCAGGTAGGCCTGGTGACACATTAAGAAATAAACCAAGGAAGGAGGTGATGGGCCATTTGTTAACCTAGTCCCTTCTCTGGGCTAAATGCCTCAGGGCCAGCAGTTCTTGGCTTCTCTGACCCCAACTGCTAAAATACTCACCTTAGGGCCTGCCTCCATGAGGAACTAGGGAGATTTCGGATAACCTCAGCCATACGTTCGTATTCTTTCGTTTTATGAATGTATTTGTCAGTTCCATTGTTAAGTGAAGAAATTTAATGGAGGGCTAATCTGTGAACCGTAACTGTTCTATAGATAGATATTATGTATGTATAAACACATATTGTATGTGCATGTATATTTTTTCAATGTACCATTTTTAAGTGTACATCAATACCTGATTCCTTTCAAATTATTTTGGGCATGTATTTTTATTTTTAGGCTAATTCACCTAAATAAGATTGATCCTCATGCTCCAAATGAAATGCTGTACGGGCGAATAGGCTACATCTATGCTCTTCTTTTTGTCAATAAGAACTTTGGAGTGGAAAAGATTCCTCAAAGCCATATTCAGCAGGTACCACGTTTTTGTGTTTTTAGGAGTCTCTTTAGGATCCCATTTACTTACTGTCTGCCTAAACTATTGTTTGTGTCTCTCCAGTTAGCACATTCCAAATAAAGGAAGGTGTATCTGGACCTCTAAAGGTTGGGCACAGTCCAAGAACCAATAACTTCCTACGGAGTGCTGTTGGAAACATTTCTGACTCAGTCAGAAAGCCAGTCTGCTCCATTTCAGAATTTAGAGGTCCTCTCCAAAGAAGATTAGAGCCAAATTTCACCTCCCAGATGGAGGGTCTGCTTTGGTGGTGCCTAGAGGAGTTTATGCTTTTTACAGGTGAACTCTTGTAAACTGTAATGCAAAGAGCTCACGCTCCTCTATGCCCTCCCCATTCTAGGCTGAATATAGTCCCACTCTCTGATGAAGAATTAAACTGTGCCTTTCCCTGGCTGAAAGCTAGTGTCTAATTTGTCGTGTTCCTCAGTACCCCTTAGCAAAAAACTCATTACCTCCTCCAGGAAGGTTTTTGTTCAGTTCACTTGTGATTTTGGTTGGTTCTCTCTCTGCAGATTTGTGAAACAATTTTAACCTCTGGAGAAAACCTAGCTAGGAAGAGAAACTTCACGGCAAAGTCTCCACTGATGTATGAATGGTACCAGGAATATTATGTAGGGGCTGCTCATGGCCTGGCTGGAATTTATTACTACCTGATGCAGGTAAGGAGTGATTGTGGTGGAACTTTAAAATGTCCTTCCTGACCCATGTACTATCATGGGTGAGAAGACAGATGTTCTAGTTCTAGTTTGTCATTCTGTCAACCTCCGCATTACAGTACTCTCCTTATAATTAACTTGACCTAGACAAACAAAAGTAATGTTTACGAAGGTGCCTTTAAAAATGTATAAACATTAAAGGCCTTGCATTTTGAGATGAAGTTTGATTTACAGGTTACCCTACTTGCCCACTTAGCATCACTTGTGCAAACTAAAGTATTTTGACCTATAGTTCTGCATGAAGCACCTCTGCTCTGCTCTTGCAGCCAGTGCTTTGAATTAAAAATATTATTCCACATTAAAAGGCACAACTAATTCCAACAAATTCCAGTCATAGGAACAAAATCAATAGAAAACAAATGAGCGCTTGTTGCCTAATGCTCACTTAGAGAGCAAAGCTGAGGAGACTTTTACTTACCTGAAAAACAGCTGAATATGCTCTGCCCAACAGTTCTTAGGATCTAATACTATTGGGGCACATCAACCAGAGTCAAATAGACTAAAGACAAATAGCAGTTACTGCAGCAAACATAACTTGGGAGAGATCAGAAGAGGACTTCTCATGAGAGCATCATTTTGGGAGACTTCTGAAGCACTCCTTAAGGAGAAATTGGCACTTGTGAATAAGAATTCATGGCAATTGATTTTTAATGGCAGCAGAGGTACCCCTGTCACTTTCCCAAGGCACACTGTCATATAAAAGTGTTTCATTCACGTGTTCAGCAGGAGTGCTTGGATATACATACTACCAGCTCTTTGAGTAGCTGACTCTTATAATGCAGGATCAGTGTTGGACCTGCCCTCTACCTATAAATAAACAAGGACAACAGAACTGAAAAACTCAAGGTTATTATTACTTTTGAATGCAGAGTCACACATTGAGTGTTAGTGGCAATCAGAGACTAACTGGCATATTTATTCTACACTTTTCAATTAGAGGTTATATAATTAGGATGTTGACATTTAGACTTAAATTTCTTTATTTTTCTGGTGCATGTCTTCCTCTCTATTCCCAGTAGTAAATGTAGATTCCTAAAAGTTTTCAGGAAAGAAGAGTCTTCTGAAGTTTCAAGGTTAGTTAGAATCAAACATATTAGAGGCCCTCTCCAAAGAGGATTAGACAACCTTATTGAACTTTCATCGAAACAAATAATCAGGAGACATAGTTAGTGACTAGACAGCCTCATCAAACTTTCATTTAAACAAATAATCATGAGACATACTCTGTCTCCTTGTGTTAGCTGTAGTAAGAAATCTGAAAACCCAAGTATTGATTTTTTCATTTGCAGGTTATCATCTATACAAAATGATTTAATTTTTAATCCTGAAAGTCTATTCTAGTAGGTACCCCTTCATTAACATAAGATTAAACATCATTATTTTTAGGCCATGTTGGGTAATTCCTGCAAGTTTGAAGAGAGTCCACTCATTCTACTGTAACACTTTGAGCTTTAATGCTGTTCTTCGTATAAAATGAAATCTGTCTTTTAAATAACTCAGTGCACTTTCAGAATCTTGTGGAAGTCGTATTGTCAACATTACTTTGACCCCACCACAACCACCTCCTGCCTGTGCTTCACACCACTGCCACCCCTTACCACCACATGCCCCACACCTTGCCTAGCATAACAGCACTTTGACACTGTTAAAGACATTAGCAGTCATTGAATTAAGAACAGGACCAAAAGGAGAAACTAAAACATATATCAAAAATGGTAGCTCATATGCTTTATGTCAGTATGTCCTTTGGATCTGTACGTTGTTATATCAAAATAATGTGGCATTTAGATCGGTCCTAAATCCTCTGCAAAAAGACAGACCTGATCTAGAGGGATGCTATAGTTTGGAATCTAGATTCCAGGTCTCTTAACTTGTTAGTATCCTTTTTCTATTGAAAATACCACCTATCTCCTCTCTAAATGTAATAACGAAAGTCATGCTTGGTTTGTCTAGTGCATCCCTTTGTGACTTTTAAAGCTTGCTTTATATATGGAAACCATGGGAAACTTCTCTTACACTCACATTCTCAGGTGTTGACTTTGGAAAATTACTTATATGTATGTAGATAACAATATATACAAAATGTCGAGCACAGTGGCTCACGCCTGTTATCCCAGTACTTTGGGAGGCTGAGGCGGGCGGATCATCTGAGGTCAGGAGTTCGAGACCAGCCTGTTCAACATGGTGAAACCCCGTCTCTACTAAAAATACAAAAATTAGCCGGGCGTGGTGACAGGTGTCTGTAATCCCAAGTACTTGGGAGGCTGAGACAGGAGAATTACTTGAACCCAGGAGATGGAGGTTGCAGGGAGCCAAGATCGTACCATTGCACTCCAGCCTGGGTGACAAGAGTGAAACTCCATCTCAAATAAAAAACAAAAACAATATATTCAAAAGACCCTAAGAGTTAGCTAGTAACCCAATTTTACTTTGTCCCACTGTTTATAAAGTTTTTAAATGAAATCACAAAAGATTAAAATAAAGGCATCCAATAGGTGGAAAAATTGAATGAAATCCAAAACCTCTTAATGACCTTGCATTTCCTCTTAGCCATGCTTTTTTTCTGGTTTAAATATACTGAGACCTAGGAAGGTTTGTTTGCTTCAGCAGAACTAATAATTTCCTTCTCATTTTTAGCCCAGCCTTCAAGTGAGCCAAGGGAAGTTACATAGTTTGGTCAAGCCCAGTGTAGACTACGTCTGCCAGCTGAAGTTCCCTTCTGGCAATTACCCTCCGTGTATAGGTGATAATCGAGATCTGCTTGTCCATTGGTGCCATGGCGCCCCTGGGGTCATCTACATGCTCATCCAGGCCTATAAGGTACTGTGTGTATTTTTGAAAAAAAATTTTTAATAACCAAAAATTTATAATTTAAAATTAGTTTTACCCTAATCCATAAAGGAACAATAAATAAATCTCTTGTGGGACCTAAGATCACTTTGCTAAATGAATTATAATTCATTCTCACCATCTCTCTGTACCATAGCAGGCATGGTTTCATAACCTACTTTCAACAACATTTAGGTTGCAATGAGATATTGTTTATGATCCAGCATATTGTCTAGCAATTCCACTCCTAGGTGTGTACCCAAATGAACCAAAACCAAGGATTCAAACAGATACTGTACACCAGCATTCATAGCAGCATTATTTATAATTGCCACAAGGTGAAAATAATCCAAGTATTCATCAAGAGATGAATTGATAAAGAAAATATATATACAATGGAACATATCACAATGCAATGGAATATTATTCCGCTATTAAAAGAATGACTTTCTGATACATATTACAACATGGATGAACCTTGAAAACATTATGCTAAGTGAAATAAACAGATATAAAAAGACAAATATTGTACGATTCCATTGTAGTGCATAAATAACACTAATAAAAAGCATGCCCTCACAGAACTGCAATCAAAGGTTTGTAGTTGAGAAAAAAAAAAAAGATGTCTATGACCATTGGTGCCAAATCAACAAATTACAACTCTGCAGATTATTGCTGGGCACTGGCATCTCATAAATAAGCTGCCAGTGTATCAAATTCAACATTTCAGAGAATTAGACACATTAATACTGGAAAAACTTTTTAAACTGCCTTATCCTACTTTTAAGAACACTTAAGTTGCAATGAGCTATTAAAAATACCTACTCAGAATATTTCCTCAGTCTTTGATGAAGATACAGGAGGCCGTAAAAAATGTAAAGGTCTATCTCTATTTTTCTGACAAAATCTAATGTTTTATACTCAATTTGCATATTTCCTAAAGAACAGTTGTTCTCCAGTGTTTAAAGAAACTTCCTAATAGTGAAGAGGACATCATAGTTACCAAAGAAGAGAGCATGTGTTCTTTGGAAAGTCACTCATGCTAACAGCAAGTTGCAAGTTAAATAATGCTGCTTCCTCAGTAACATCCACATAAACACACATGCACAGAAAACTTAGACTGTACATACCAAAGTCATGCACAATTTAAAAAACAAAAAGCCAAACTAGTAGATTTTAGTAATTGTCACTAGCAATATAACACATCCCTCTGTCACTAAATCCTTTATCGTTTCTTGCCAAGCCATCTCCCTCTCTCCTCCTTACCTATCAGGAAGGAGTATCAATGGAACTTTCTTTTATATCCCGTGTAATAGAATGCACGTCCTTTGCCTCTGCAGGTATTCAGAGAGGAAAAGTATCTCTGTGATGCCTATCAGTGTGCTGATGTGATCTGGCAATATGGGTTGCTGAAGAAGGGATATGGGCTGTGCCACGGTGCTGCAGGGAATGCCTATGCCTTCCTGACACTCTACAACCTCACGCAGGATATGAAGTACCTGTATAGGGCCTGTAAGGTAAGAGTCAGAACCACCAAATAGAAAGCAGCTCAGTGGCTCATACCTGTGATCTCAGCACTTTGGGAGGCTGAGGCAGGTGGATCACCTGAGGTCAGGAGTTCGAGACCAGCCTGGCTAACGTGGTCTCTACTTAAAATACAAAAACTTAGCCAGGTGTGGTGGCAGGTGTCTATAATCCCAGCTACTTTGGAGGCTGAGGCACGAGAATCACTTGAACCCGGGAGGCGGAGGTTGCAGTGAGCTGATATCATGCCATTGTACTCCAGCCTGGGTGACAAGAGTGAAACTCCATCTTGAAAAAAAAAAGAAAAGAAAAAAAAGCAGGTCTCCCAGGAGGTTGTAGAAAGGGTTCTAGTTCATCTGATTTAATTCATTTATCCCTAAAATCATAGGTCTTAGATAACAAATACAGTTATTTAAGGAAAACCTTCAAAAACCTTTCAATTAAATTAGCATTTCTTTAAAGGGACATAATTCTACTCTGCAGCATTTATGGGAGAAAAAATAAAGACATAGGGTGATTTAGTGCCTTTCTTCTTAAATAACCTCGGAGATACGTGACTCAGACAGCTCATTAAATTCCTCCCATGCTGTGTACTCTCTCAGACCATCCTTTACTCTGCATTAATCTCCTTTCTTTGATGTGAAGGTAGTGTTTGACTTTTCAGAGTAATTTGTAGAGACAACCTCTTAACTTTCGGGAGGTCTCTGGAAGAAATCACTATACTAATTTAACTTGGTCTCATTTTCAGTTTGCTGAATGGTGCTTAGAGTATGGAGAACATGGATGCAGAACACCAGACACCCCTTTCTCTCTCTTTGAAGGTATTTTGTACACTTTATTTATTTGCCTTATAATATCAGCATCTACTTCTCTGCTTGCTAATTAATGTATTTGAATTTAAGTTTTATCAAAAAATTAAATTATTCTTAACTACTTTATTTCCTAACATGCTAAATCGATATTAAAAATCAATTAGCATGTGTGCTACCACAGTCCCAATACTGGTAGTCATCGGGTGACTCCCTTTTATGGAGCCAGGTACATGTTGGGCATTTTGCAGATGCCATCATAAATCATTCAGCAAAAAACATACAGGCACTATTACCTTCATGTCACAGCCAAGGAGACTGAGGCTCAGGAGCTTATGTTTGGTAAATGGCAGGGCTGTGACTTGAACTTACCTGGCTCCATTCTCTCTCCAGTCTTCTACCGGGATATAAGGCTGAGCACCTCACTAGTGATCTCTTCTAATGTTGAACTACAATGTCTGTAAACATAGATTTACACTTCATTTAAATCATTGCCATTAATATTGTGATGTTGTTAATGTTAAAAATGGAGCCATCCTTCGTTTTTGCAGAGTTGTAACTGCTCTCGGGGGGTGTCAGTGAGGTGGGGAAAAAGCCATAGGATGCTGAAGGAGGAGGGCCAAGAGGACATCCCCACCCTCCCCTCCAGTATAGCCTTGATCCAGACCTTAGGGACGAGGCTGTCACGGGTGGGCACCCTTTGTTGATGTTTGTATGTTTGAATAGGCTGAAATGCTGTTGACTTGTTTTGTCTATAAAGATTTGGAGGAAAAAAAAGGCCATCCTATGAAATGGAGTCATTTGGTATAATAACTTTTGCCTCTTTCTGTTTCTTCAGGAATGGCTGGAACAATATATTTCCTGGCTGACCTGCTAGTCCCCACAAAAGCCAGGTTCCCTGCATTTGAACTCTGAAAGGAAAGCATGCCACCTGTAACTCACTGCATGACCCTTTCTGTATATTCAAACCCAAGCTAAGTGCTTTCGTTGCTTTCCAAGGAAACAAAGAGTCAAACTGTGGACTTGATTTTGTTAGCTTTTTTCAGAATTTGTCTTTCATTCGGTTCATTTCCATTATCATTTACTTTTACTTAAAAGTATCCAAGGAAGTCTTTTAACTTTAATTTCCATTTCTTCCTAAAGGGAGAGTGAGTGATATGTACAGTGTTTTGAGGTTGTATACATATGTTCCAGAACTTGGAGGAAATCTTATTTAAGTTTATGAATATAACCATCTGTTACTGTTCTAAAAATGTTTAAAAGAAACTCAATATAGATAAAAATAAATATGTGACTATTATTGGGTATTGCACTTCACTCTTTTTTAATATTTTTCCTCCAATTGGAGGGCAAACAATTTTATGACTTGCTTTTCTCTAGGTGTTTCATTTTGAAAGGGACAAAAATATAACTAAATGCTTCCAGGAGAAAAATTCCAAGAATTGCAATCTGGACTTGGGACCTAAATATCATTTTTAAAATTCTTGATGCCTATTTAGACTAGAGGTAAACATACTTTCAGATTTGCCTGTTTTTGTCAGCAAGGCATACAGGCTTCAGAAGCCAACATTTTTAATCAAAAATGTATAAAATGTGATGATCATTGTGAAAATTCTGAGTTGAAGGTTAGTTCAGGATAAGCCAACAATAACAGTTTGTGTTTTCTCTAAAATAATCTGGGTTTTTTGGAACTATTTCAGTATTCATTTAAGATCAGGAAGCTAATTTTCTATGTATGAGTATGCTTTGACCTAGGATTTCAGCCCACTCTGACTGACTTTCTAAACTTTGAGTTTTTTACAGTGACTATGCATTAGTGCTGACTCTTTGGTATAAGCCATAAAATATTTTCCTTCTTATCAATTTATCTGAACTTTGATCTTTTCACTAAATAGTACAGTATTCTACTTCGGTTTAAAAAGGGGGGATGAGAAAGGGAATACTATGTAACCAATAACTTGAACAAAAACACTAAGCTTTTAATAGAAATGCTTTTTGTTGAGGAGGTATTATCCAGAGTTCATGCTTAGAACAAATATATCTTTGTGTATCCTAGGCTTAACAATTCATCAGTTTCTGAGACCACAGAATCAGGTTTTCTGTAGTAGATAAAGACTCCCTGGTGCTTCAAATCCCCTACAAATGTTTTGACTCAGCAGCTTTTACTCCTCCTCCTTCCAATACTGCCTTTGCCTGGCTTGTTTTTTCTCTTTGCAACTGATTTTGCAATAAAATTGTAGCTTTAAAATAACAGGGTCTAAGTATTTTAAATGTGCCTATTTCACAGTTCTCTTGGTGACAAAAACATGCTATTTTTATTGGAACTTCAAACCAAATCCCTACTGAGTGTGTGCTGGTTCCTGCAGGTAGCAGTCTCCTATTATCTCCTGTTTAGCACCAAAAGAGCTAATATTATTGGAAATCGACCCTTTAAAGGCCACTGGCAGTAGGATTTTAAAAGCAGCCCACTGCTCAATTTCTAGGATCAGCTTCCTCCTTCTTGACTTGTGTAAGTCGGCACTACCTTGTGCCTCTCAGATTGCTGAAGTGCTACTGGTAAGCGTGTGCATGCTCTGCCTTTCTTGTGACACGAGCTTTCAGTCAGCAACATCAGCACTTACAGTAAGAAGTAAAAATAGCGCACAGCAAAGCTAATTTGCCTTTGTCTGTGGTGTTCAACCTGAAAGAATAAAGCTCATTTGGTTTAGTTAAATGTCTTACTCTACTGTGCCTATGCTTTTAGCTACGTTACTAAGCAAGGGAAAGGAACACTTTCTTTGAGCCAAAGGAGACTTGATCACAGTTCTCCAAGTATCGTGATAGCAATACTTAACCCCAGGAAGATTTCAAGGCAGGGAGAAGAACATTTCAATTAAGATTCTTCTTAACCCATTTATGCCTAGTGTTCCATTATTGGAACACTAAGCTTGTGGGAGTCATTTACATCCTACTGCTCAAAGTCATTGCCAAGGTCTGATTTTTCACACAAAAAATTGCAACCCCCAGCATAAATGGGTTAGCTACAGTCATCTGCTAGCAAATTCATCCACACAAACACAATTCAAGTTTGTTTTAAGCTTTTGAAAACTTATTAAACTGGCACAATTTTATATGTATGCTATTTGTTGTATTTATGCTTAAGAGCAAAAAAGTTTTGATGGGATTTTAAACTCAGGCAAAGCCTACAACGCTGAGACAATCCCCTAACATGGTAGTAACTAAAGAAACTTTTATACTAGGCTTCTTAGTTTTAAAAGGTAGTGGCATCATTGTTTCAGTTCTAGTTGTTATATTTTTCTCTTGGATATTTTTCTTCTTGGTAAAAATCCTTCCCAGAAGTTGCTTCCTAGAAAACTCAACACCATCTCTTATCTCTGTACGGGGACTAGGTAGTAAAACCTTCAAAGGTTGCCAAGCAGTGTTCATTTATCCCATCACATGTTTCTGTTTCTATAGTAATTTAGAAATTGCGAATAGTTACCTTTTCATCTTGCAAAAAATGTTAACATTATCCTGGCTATTTCCATAGATACCATGGGCTATTATTATTACTATCCTGACTATTTCCATAGATACTATGGACTATAGTGTGGCCTGAGTTGTCAGTCTTTAATCCTGATTCATGTGGCTCTCTTTTTATCTTTCATGTCAGTTCCAGTTATTTGATATCAAAAACCTTCATGGTAGGTAGAGTTTTAGGTAAAAGTGGATCTAGGGTTACTTTCTTTATTAACATTTCCTAAATAACTGAATTGAGAGACATACTCTGCTACCATGTCGTCAGGTTAATTTTTGTCTGATCTTATGATGGTCCTGCCTTTTACTAGCTACTTTAGAAATAGAAAATGTGAAGAGTGACTATTTACGCATATACTCCTTTGGCTACTAGAACTCATCTATAGTCCTTTATTATTTACACTGAATTACAATTTCATTTCTGCTTCTGCTAAATAAGAGCACCTCATTCCTGTGTTTTCTGTACTGTTGAGCTGTAGACGAACTGTTTCTCTAATTATAAAGCAAACTGTTTGGGATATTCAGGGAAACTGCCCAAATGTTATATTATCATTTAATGGGAAAGGCTGGGATCATATGTATTTTTATGTTCTGTAAAGGATTTGACTTACTGGTTCTCAATAAAATTTTATTAGGACTATATATCATGTGCTGTTTGTTTGGTTTGGTTTAAACTTGAGAAATATTTTCCCTCAATGGCAACTGAAGGTTTTTTTCTCTATACATCCATTTCCTAGGCTTTGTTCCTTTTTCCTCATTGTTGGATAAAACAAGATTTTCTCTACTGTCTCATAATAGAGATTTATAAGCGGAAAATGTTTTTAAATCTGATCATTATAGAATTAAGAGAAATCTACGAGGCTTCAAGAACAACAGTGTATTAACCATCTCATAATATAAGAATCTGCTGTGGGGTTAATAACTAAAGGCCTAATTCTAGAAATTGATTTTCCTGCTGACCAATTCTGCTTTGAATAGAAAAGGGGGGAATTAAATGAGGCATAATCGTAAAATATATATGCAGAGGTTAGAAAACTTTTGCTGAGTCACTTGGGATGACTTTGTGCCACTACTTTTTATGACACAGCTAGTTAGTGTGACTTAGCACAGCAGAGATTTGACAAATTATAGAATACTCGTTTTCATCTCTAAATTACAATTTGTGTGCTGGTACATATGATGAAAATGTCCTTCATACCCAAAGTCTATTTATTGAATGATAATACTGAGGATAAATGCAGAGTTACATTTATTTCTCTTATTTGAATGAAGTAAAGGTATGTATGGTAATATCAAGACTCTGGATGTAGGCAGTGAGGCATGGGGAGGACACTACCGTGCAAAGGCCACACAGAGGTTCCCAAATGATGCTTAGAAAGGTCCTGCTAACTCTACGAGGTTAGTTTCCATTGGCAAGGCCAGCTCTAGTTTACTGCTCCCTGGCTTCTCCTCCTACTAGGAGGAAAATGATGACAGGCACAGTAAGTTGCACCACAGTTGTAACCTCATGAACAAAGAAAACTTCAAGATATTTGTTTTTTGTGACTTACCTACAGTATATTTTTTCCTAATTTTGCATTGGAAAAGATCTTAGCCTTTCTCCTCCTCTTCACACTCTCTGAATAGAAAAGAATAATTTTTATGTCATTCTTTTTTTCCAAGATAGTTCCCACTGTGGATTCAAAGTTATTAAAATTCTCATATCTTCTCTATTCTATTAAGCATCATTTAAACTGAAAACCTACAAGTTAGTCCCCTGAAAATTTGCTTTCTCATTGTTTCTCATCCAAATTTGCCCTCTTCCTTCTAAAGCTGTGGGTCAATTAACAGAACAAGAGAACTCAGGCTTTTTTTTTCTTTTTTGTAACAATGGCACATATATTGGCTTCATTGGTCCCATGATGTAAACTGTCTAAACACTATTTTCCAGAAGCCCTATACTAGTGCATCCTCAGGGACTTATTTGGCAATTTTATGAGTAATAGGAGAAGGCAGCAAAGACAATAAGCCAAGAGATGAAATAATGAGGATTGAGAAATAGATCTTAGCAGAGCTGCTGCTCATAGTCAACCAGTTTAATTTCACATTTCTACATTATGTTAACTTTTCAACCACATGAAAATTACAACATGGTAACATTAAATCTGCAACTAATGTTCTAATACTCAACAAGTAAGTGTTAAGACAAAGCATTTCTGAGGTACTTAGTCGTCATGTAGGGAAACACAAGACTTTATAAGTCAGTTTATAAAATAGTGTCCCAATTGCCTAATTTCTCTTTGATGGAGCTGGGATGTTAAGAAAGGCATTTATAAGTCAGAAAATACTGATGTGGCTCACTGTGAAAGATGATACTGTTTTCTCAGGATTCAGCATTCAGAAATGAACATGCCCCCTCCTGCTGATACAATCTGAACTGCTGGCACTTTCAGTTTTTATGACACAGACATGCCATTTTGTTAATCATACCATGACCAATGCCTTAAAATCATTTATCCCCAAAATTCATTAAACATGCTATCTTTATGTACAAGGTACTGGCTAGGGGATCTGTTTGCATAAGGTAGACATCTCTACCCTGGCAACTCAGTCTGGTGAAGACAGGTGACTGGATAAGCAATTGCAAGGAAATGTATTATAATAATCCTATCACCACTCCAACTACTCTTCCCATTATTCCATAACTTCATGTATATTGGGTCTCTCATATGGCCTGCAGTTTCTATCTATGGAGATATTGGCGTTTAGAACTGTAATAGGAAGAAGACAATTTAAAAGCCAATCGGCCAGCCCAGAAACACTCAGAGTTCTTTCATTTGGACCACCTTGATGATGGGCAAGGTGGAGAGAAATTTGAAGACAAAGAGTCCTTTGCCCCCAAAATTACTTTCATTCAGTTGACCAACTTCTCAAAATTCACAGTATTACTATTAATAATTTAGGCTAAATTCATTTTTCTTCAGGAATCCCCCATTAAGATGCAAATATTTTAGAATAGTTACTGATCCTGCTATGTCATAAGCATCTTATTAATTGGTTCATGACCTAGAGAGAAATTAACTTGAATTCAACAACACTGTGTTGCTAGAACATGCTAGTAACAGCATCTAGCTAAGATTAAAAAGATAATATGATATCTGCTCATAAAAGACTGTTTAGATGTGATGATGAGTATAAACAAGTAATTTCAATGCGCTGTGGAACTACACCAGCACTACCGTGTTATGAGTAGCAAATGTATATTGTAGACATGTCATTTTTATTTGCCATCATCTGGCATTCACCATGATTCATGTGGAAGAATTTCGTAAAGTGATGGAGGGGTCTATAGTGCCTCAGAGGTCATTCATCCAGGGATACTTCAGTGCTTAAGAACAAAGCTGATCCAGAAAGTATATGTGAGTTAATAAAACTGGTTGAAGAAATTTTGACGGCAGGGCTTCTCAACCATCAATGTGCATACAAATTACATGGGGATCTTTTTAAGTAATTTCTAAAATGCAGGTCAGGAAGTGCGTGAGATTCTGCATTTCTAACAAATTACCAGATAATGCCCATGCTGGCCAGAGCCTACCTTGAGTGCCATGGAATTAAATTATCCATCATAAATTTCAACTAAATAGAAAAAAAGTAAACTCAGGAGTTGGCTTATGAGTTGGAAGAAATTAATTGATGTTTGTGAAATCAGAGGACTATGAGTAGAAGCAGGAGCA